CTCCACGAAGCCCGGGCTCTCCTCCCCTACCCGCTTCTCCGGGAAAGCTTTCCGTCCGCCCCTCAGCGGGCACCGGCTGCTCTCAGCCGAGGGATGCGGCTGGTAGGCGGCGGCGTCGGGGCCGAGGGAGAGCTCCCTCCCCGCTGTCCCTCGACACCTCTCCCTCGCTCGGCTTCTTCTCCCGCCCCGTCCCGTCCCCCCCGCAGCGGGTCGTTGCGGCTCTGCCCGACTCGGAAAGGTCAGGGGGAGCCGCGCTGACAGGTGCGCCGAGTGCCGCCGGCTGCCTTGCGCTCGGAACCCCGTCCTCCGCGGCCTCTTTGTTTCGTGCGCAGGGCAAAGAGGACATTCCCATGAGGGGAAACGCCTCACTCGCGATACTCCTTCGGGGGCTTCCCTCGCCCCGTGCCCGGAGCTCTGTGCCGGGGGTCCCGTGGAACCCAAGGCGGTTCCGTGGCCCGACACATGGGCTGAGGATTCGATCAAAAAATAACCCCTGACTTCAGAGAGAGGTCTGGCGAGGTCACGCGCCAATGGAAAGCGTTGAGGAAATTAATAGCAAGTGGATTTTTGCCTGCGGGAAGGAATTTGCAGATAGCCACTGACATCGCTCCTGCGATGCCCTCCCAGCTGACGGGCATTGGTGCTCGTCAGTGCGCTTTGGCTCCCCAGGCCGAGCCCCGCGCTGCCCACCCCGGTCCCGCAGCGCAGAGAGGGGCGCGGGGCCGCCCCTACGAGGCTCTACCATTGGCTCCCGCCTGACGGCGTCATCGGAGGCCTCGTGATGCCAAAGGCGCTGATTTTCGGTTCCGTGATTTTCTGAGGACAATGGAGATGGAGAAAAAGGGACGGAACGTTCGGGCTGGGCCCGGGCACGGCATCCCGGGGGCAGAGCGTAGAGCAGGGTTTCTCTCCATAGTTTTACCCGAAATCAACTCGGCCTTGAATTGAAAACAAACAAACAAGCAAACAAGCAAAAAAAAAAAAAAAGGAAAGAATCAAATAAATTATCATTATTAATAATATATATTTTTTAAGTTTTGCTAGGAGCCGGGGCGGGGCTGGGGGCCGTGTCCGAGGGTTCAGACAGGTGCCCGGTTTGGGCAACGCGGACCCGGAGATCGGCCCGGAGCGCGGGGCTGAGAGGCAGCGGAGGGACTTTGGAGTGATGAGTACAAGCTGCACGAGCCCAGGGGGGCAAGGGCAGCCCGGCCCGGCCCGAGCCTCCTCCTGCTCTCTCCCTGGGGTCAGCTCTATTCCAATATAAGCTCCCTCATGCCGCTGGGAACGCGTTTTAACAATGATCGACATTGCACGGATAGAGGCAATGTGTGTATTTTACGTATACCTCCGAGCGCAGCCCCGCCCGGTGCCGGGTGCGCGGCAGAGCCGGGAGGTGCAGCGGGTCTGTTGCTGGGCAAAGTCCGCTCCTGAAATAAAGACTCGACCTTTGTCCCGCTGGAAAAATAATAATGATAACACTAATAATACAAATAACACTTTGGGAAGCGTAGCTCAAGGACTTTTTCCCCTCTCTCCTCTTTCCCAGTGCCGTTATAAATAGGCCGCCTTCAGATCTCGGTCCGGTACAAAAGGAGCCCCCAGCTCTGAAGTGGCCACGCCAAATAACCCAATGAGAAAATAAACCGGAGACAGTTTCCAAGAGCGAGGTTCTGCCAAAGGGCGGGGGGAGAGGGGTGAAAGGTGCCCCCGTCTCCGCAGCCCTTCCGGCGAGGTGAGCCCGCTCCTCGCACCGCTCTCTCCCAGGAGGAAGCAATGGTCCCGGAGCGGCCGCCCGACCCCCGCCGTGCTTCACCCCGGGATTTCCCCGGCGGAAGCTGGAAAAGCGGAGGAGAGCATTCCGAGCTTCTCCCCACTTACGCGACGGCACCGGCGGGCATTGCGGCCTGCGGCCGGCCCTTGGCACACGCCGGGGTGGTTGAGTGGCAGGAGACGGGCTGGGGTCGTTTTCGCAGAGATCGCGGTGTAGCATCCACTCGCCGTCGCCCGCTCCTGGCCCTGCGCCTCACCCCGAGCTGTGCCCGCTTCTGCACCCGCTGTGCCCGCTTCTGCATCCACGGAAAGCGAACGGCCCTCGGGAAGGACTCGGCGGGGCCGGCCCCGGCAGCCCGCTTCTTTTGGGGGTGTTGCCGGGAGGGGATCACATACGGCCGCCGAGGAGGACGCCGTGAATGGTCCCGACGCGGACCGGCCTGGGGACCGCTGCCACTCGGAGCCGGATCGCTCCTACCTGGGCGTCCCCGTGCGGGAGGGGACCCTCGGGAGTGCTGCCTCCCAAACCAGCAGCGGTTGTGCCCGAAAGCGTTCCCGATATAAAGCACGCATAAAAGCGCGCTTCGTGAATAGCCCAGCGGAGCTCAGACTATTCGACCGCTCTTCCGCGTTTCCCTCTTGTACGCGTTCTTTGTCGGGACAGAGCGGATTCGGGGACGCTCGAAGGAAGAACGATGGGATGGGGTCGCGCCTCTCCCGCCCCGCGCCGCCTCTCGGAGTCCCGCACAGGGCCGTCCCGCACGGGATGGGCGACGGCGGGGAGAGTTCGACCGGCGTCCGCCGTCCGCGCGTCGCGAGTCCGTTCGCGGAGCTCAGCGCACAGGAACGGGGCTGGGGGCTCCTCCTCAAAAATAGCCGGGAGGGCTTCAGAGAAAACTCACCTCGGCCGAAGGAGAACTTTCGCGTTAAGCGGTTTCCCGTTATTCCCCACCACCACCACTCCGCCAGGTATTGGCGTACGCCCTTTCTCTCGGTAACGATTTCCGTGGTAACCGCCCGCTCCCAGAGGCACAAATCGGCCATTGGAGAGAGGGGTTTATTGAATTCATTTTCGCGGGCCGCGCATCAGCCTCCGCCGGGACCCAATATAGTTTTCGTTGCAACCGAGGGCTAGGAGGGGCCGCGCATCTCTCCCCGGACCGGCCCGTCGGTGCCCCCGGAACCCGCACCCCGACGCTGCTGAAAAGATAATAATAAAAGAAAATTCATTTCCATCGTCTCCCGCTCCATCCTGGAATCTCTCCCTCTCGCTTTTGTTGCTGTTATTTCAACATCAGCTTCGCTGAACAGAAATCGCCACAGAACCGAGCGGTTTCTTTTGCAGAGCGGTGTCTCCACAACCGCACAGCCCGCACCGCCCGCACCGCCCGCACCGCCCGCACTGCCCGCACGCGGCGCGCACGGCGGCCCAGGAGGTGCTCGGGGCTCCTCCGGCTGCGGGCAGCGGGCATCGGGAGCGCCCCGCTGCCGCCCAGGCTCCAGGGCTGCCTGGCAGTGGGGAAAAAACGGCGTGCGTTACGCTGCTTTGCTTTTTATTAAGTCGTGGAGAGGAAGAGAGGGAGCTGCGGTGGGGGGAAAACCGGGAGGTAAAGAGAAAAACGGAAAAACAAGGAAAGAATTAGGCAGGTAATAAAGAGAATAAGGAGGGAAAATCCTCTGGAAGCTGTCTTGGAACAGAAACCTGCGGGAGCCCGGGGCGGACGCATGGCTCTGAGAGAGCGGAATGATTCGGGACCAAGCGCGAGTGGCGCGGGGCGAGCCCCGTTCTCTCAAGGGCAGAGTCGAGCGGTGACCCCCCCCGGCTCGCTCCGTCCCCTCGGCTGTTGCCTCCCCACACACCCCCGGGGAGGCGGCTGCCTCAGCCCGCCGGCCCCCCGAGCCGCCCCCCGCTCCCCCAAATACATACAAAGAGATGAAAGCCGCGGGGCTGCCCCGCTCCGCGCTGGGAAATGAGCCGGGGGCAGCGGGGGGACACGCGGGCTAGGCTCGGGGGGGGCCGCTGGGAACAGGGAGCCGCCGGATCCCCCGATCCCGAAGGAGTTAAGGGCCTTCTTCTCCTTCCTTTTCTTTCTTTCTGGCTTTTTTATTTCTTTTTCATTTTTTTCTTTTTTTTTTTTTTTCTTTTTCTTTTTTTCTTTTTTCTTTTTTTTTTTGACTGAAGAACTGTGGATGCAGTTTGCGTAATATCTTTATTACCGAGAACTTCAAGGTAAGTGGGCAATAGGAACCAGATGTGGGGCCCGGAGGAAGGCAGGGCGAGGGCGAGGGGACGTGCGAGGGGCAGCGGGAGGTACCCGGGGGAGGGGGCATCGCGTTGGCTGCCGGGGTGGGGGGCTGGGGGGCGGAAGGTGCGCACTGATTTATTTGTAAGCCCCTTTTGGGCCGCCGTTGACCTCTCGGAGCAGTAAGGCCCCTTTCAGACTCCGCGCCTTTGCAAGTTCACGTCTGACAGTCCCAAAGCCTATTCTGTGCTCTCGAAGGCCCCGTTGCAGCCCCTCCCTGTTTCTTCCCCCCCCCCCCCCCCCCCCCCCAGGTTAGTTACACCTGGAGAGAGCGCGGCTGTCCGGAGGTAAAGAACCACGGCCGGGTGCCTGCTGTCAGGAGACGGAACGGCCCCGGGAGAGCAGGGAAGGGGTTAATGGGGCTAGGGGAGGCCCAGAGGCCCAGAGCCGCGGGGACCCGTTGTAAGGAGCCCAAGGGGGTGGAAGGAGGGGGGGCGTGGGGTTGGGGGTCCCGCAGCTGCGCCTCTCGGCCCAGGGTCGGAACAAATGGAGCGTGACAGCAGCGCGAAGCGCCGCTCATCCCCGCGCCCGTCCTGAACCGTGTTACTGCCATGTGCTCGTCTGCTTCGTTTTCTATTTTTTAAACATAAAAAGCTTTATTTTTTCTAATGAGAAAGATACGACCCCCACCCCCTTCTGCCTCCACACCCCCATCCGCATCCACGCACACCCCTCCCTGGGCCCCCTCCCCTCCACTGTCATCATCTTCGTATTAATTGGGGGAGAGGTCTCTCTTTTTTTTCTTTTTTTTTTTTTTTTTCCCTGTGCGTGGGGGGGAAAGCGACGAGAAGAGCCTCTTTGGGCGGCGGAGAGTTCGGAGGGAGAGAGAGTGTGGGAGAGAGGGAGGGATAGAGGGAGGCAGAGCCCCTCTGAGAGCGGATCGGGGCCGGGCGGCAGCGGCTGAGCCCTCTTACAGCTCCCGGCCCCGCTGTGGGTGTGCGCGTATGCGGGAGGGGGAGAAAGAGAGGCTCCTGGTGCCCCTCCAAGCGCATTAAGGACACTCGGGCCTTTTAATTTTAGGAATGAATGCTGATACTTGTGTTTCTTATTGTGATCCGGCTGCCATGGATTCCTACTACAACGCAGCCTCCCAGGGCGCAGACGGCTCCTCGCCTTTTAGGGCATTTCAAGCGAGTGACAAGTTCGGCCCCGCTTTCCTGGCCGCCAAAGGACAGAGCTTCGGTGACAGCGGCGCGAAGTGCCGGAGCCGCTACAGCCCGCAGGAATGCCCGTCCCTGGACGGCAGCGGGCAGGCGCCGGGCCCCGCCGCGCCCCCGCCCGCCTTTAGCAAATACCCGCAGCCCCAGCAGCAGCCGCCGCACCTCTACATGCAGCGCGGCCCCTGCAAGACCCCCCCGGAGAGCAATCTCAAGCTGCAGGAGAGCGGCGGCCACAACGGAGCCCTGCAGGTCTCCTGTTACGGTGAGTGCGGGCCGCGCGATGGGGCCGGGCCGAAAAAGGGCTCCCGGGACCGGGGGGGCTCCGGGGGAGGCCGCGGATACCCCTCGCTCCGTTTTGCCGTGGTTTTGCGGCGAACGCCGAGGCGGAAAGAGGCAGAGGCTCGAGGAAATCGCGGTAAATGGAAGAGAAAAGCAGAGCGGAGAGCCGCTCTGTGCCGAATGCCACCGCGGAATGGCTGCGCTGGGACAGAACTTGGGGCGAATGTCTCCGCGCTCTGCCCACGCCGCCGCCCCGTCCCTCTCTCCCACCCGCTGCTGCCCGACGTGGCCGTGCGCCGGCCGGAGCCCGGGGGCCACTCCTCACGTGTGTCCCGAGGGCTCTCCGGGACGAGCTGTGCCCGGGAGGTCGGGGAGGGGAAAAATAGGAAAGAAAAAAACAAGAATAAAAAGAAATCAAATCCCCGACCCTATATTTTTTCAGAAGAATGGAAAGTGGAAATGAAACCTCTTCCCTTGTCTCTCCGTGCGCTGCGGGCAGAGCGGGGCTGCCGTGCCCCTGTTCAGGTGCGCCCGCCGTGACCCTGCCGGGCAGGCACGGGGACGGTGACATGGACAGACCCTGCCGGGTGCGTTGGAGCATAGGAAGGGCAGCGGGGAGAGGTGGGGGAACGGTAGTATCGAGAGGGACTCAGAGATTCCAGCTCCCGCGTCCCCGTCTCTCGCCGTCACATCAACGGCGGCTTCTGCGCCCTCTTCGCTTTCTCTTTCTCCCCCACGCACCTTCCTTTCCCTTTGTGCAGGTGTACGAGCGCGCAGACGGACCTCCCCGGCCCCATCCGGCCTGAGTAAAGCCGAAGGAGTCCCCGCACCCCTCGCCCCATGGCCCCGGGCACTGCTCCTCTCCCTGTTGCTCGCCAATGTCATTTACTTTGCGTCAAGACCCTCTCCCCCGTGCCAGCCGGGGCCGCTCCCGTCACCCCAATTTGGGGCTGCACCCCTTTCCGTGGGAATGGGCCGAGACCGACGGGTGGCCGCTCCGCATCCGCGGAGCCTCGGGGCGCTGCGGGACAAAGCGGGGCGCGGGGGAAGCCGGTGCCGCACCCCCACTAACCGGCTCTCTTGTTTCCGTAGGCTGAAAAAGCCCCGGGTGCCAGTTCAGCCCGCGAGGGCATTTTGCAGCCCAGGGCAGAGCCGCCCGAATCTGCCTCCGCCGTTACGCTAGCGGGCGGCCCCGATCCGTCTCTAAGGGGACTTCGGATGGAGCCCCGGTCGGGAGCGGATGGCCCGGCCCGGCTCCGACCGCCCTGTGGTGCGGCCGGGATCGGTGGGGCTGTAATAGGAGCCACGTGGCTCCTCGAGGATAATTAACAACAACACTAACAACGAGGGCTAACGATTTAGGAGGGCGTCTAGTTAATGGTAGCCACGTTCGGCTTCCTCGGAGCGAAAGCAGCGATGGCGGCCGCGGGCTGAGCTCCGCCGGGCGCGCACGGCGCCGGGACCCTCGGGGCGGAGGCGGCCGTTCCGCTCCCGCGGGTCGCAGAGGACGTCGGAGCGGCGGCGGTTCGCCCGGGATAGGCCGAGCCCCCGCGGCTGCTCCGGCGCTTGTCCGGCTCTCCGGGCCGCCCATCGGGGCTCGGTCTTCTATTAAAATAACCCCCCTCAAAAATAAAATAAAAAATATATATATTTATACATATGTACACATATATAATAACAGAGCGAGAAAAGCACGAGGCCGAGGAAAACGGAGCCTCTCCCCGGCGGTGCTCTCAGACTGCTCCTCCCTGCGCTCGTTGTACTGGGGCCGATGCCCGTTCGAGCGTCTCAAGCCAGCCGGGGGATTTCTTCTTTAATTTTAATTCCTTAATAAACACGTTCCGAGCTATAAAAAGCCCCCGCCTGCCGTTTATAGCTCCCGGCGTCTATTTCCAGATCGAATCCCTTCCATTGCATTGTACGGATAAATATAGGCAGGGAGAGCAGCGGCCGCACATCGGCGCAGGAAGCGAGCGGCGGCTCTTGGGGCGCTCCTGCGGGGCTCCCCCCGCCGCGGACGGCCGCGCTCGGCTCCCGCTGGCACCGCCCTAACGGGGGGCTGCGGGGCGGCCCGCGGAGCGGCACCGGCAATTAAAGTGAAATCTTCAATAAAGCCCCGGAGCGAGACGCCTATCGCGGCTCTCAGATGATTGATGCGCCGCGGTGATTGAGCTGCTATTTCTACAGCGCGGAACCGGAGTTAAGTTGCGTGTCCTGAACTTAGGAGCGTTTATACTCGCATACGGCAACACGCGCGGAAGTACGGGCTGGAAAAAATGCTTCGGGCGGTGAAGGGAATGTGATGGGGACGTGTACCCGCAGGAGGCAGAAAGAGGAAACGGCCTTCTTCGTGCTGAGGAAATCTGTAAGTGCGGGGTTAAGCACATAACGAGCATTTCTTGCCTTCAGAGAGCGGCAAAAAGCGCAGTCTGAAGCGCGTTGTTGTTAGCAGAAAGCGAGTGCCGTAGGAATTATTTGTCCGCTGCGCACTTTATTACTGTTGCTATTATTTTAATTGACACTTCTAATGTTTTTCTCCTCCCCTCCTCCCCCCGATGCACACGGCAGGCCCCCCCGCCTCCGGGACACGCCGTGCCCTGTGCCCGCCTATGCTACCGCGGTGGCACCGCTCTCCCGGTGTTCCCTTCGCCGGCCCCAAGCGGGGCGATGCCGCGCCCCCGCCCCGGTCCTGGTTCCCTCGGACCCCCGCCCGCCCCGGTGCGCGCAGGGCGGACGGTACCGCGGGGTTCGGGGTGCGCCGCCGCCCCCGTCCCGGCTCCTGCCCCGCGGCCGAAGGGAGGCGGGCGGGAAGAGGGGGAGCTGCCCGCACCCCGGGGGCCGGGAGGGGTGGGGAGGTGCTGCCCCGGCCCCCCGCTATAAAGGGATGCCGTCGGGACGCGCGGCGCGGCGCCAGCGGAGCGGGGACGGAGGAAGGAGGACGGAACCCCGGCGAGGAGAAGGGCGAGCGGCCGCGCCGGCGCTTTCCTTCCCGCAATAGAGTCAACAGATCCGCCGCTCAGGGAGAGGGGGGAGCTCCCGCCGGGAGTCGGGCCGAGGCGCTCGGCGGTGCGGGGCCTCCTCCGCGGGAGCTGCGGGACCCCCTCGGCCAGCGGCACGCCAAGGTAGGGCCCCGCTCGCCTCTCGCCCTCGGAAGGGCTCGGTCGCCGCTTTTCGCGGAGCTGCGACGCGCTTCTCGTGGCTCGGCCGGAGATCTGGCTGTGGAGACCTCGGTAGGATTCCGGCCCGGGCTGTTTATACCGCTCGTGTGTCAGCGGAGCGGAGCTCCCCCCGGGAAGCTCTCTTTTCACGGGAGCGCTGCTTGTTTTCCGTTTGTCCGCTGCCGAGCGGGTTTAGCTCCGCTTTGGCCCCGCGTTGCTGTTGCGCACGGCGTAACCTTACCGGCGACGGGACGGGTGCGGAGAGAGAGAAAAAAAAAGCCTTCGACTCGTCCTTGTCTGAATTGTTTTGAAACAAGACGGGAAAAATACCGATGGGGAGAGAGATTTGGAGGTGCTTACTGCGTGCGTCTTTTCCTAAGGGTTTGATGTGTTATTAACAATATATGCTGATGCCAGATAGCGCAAACGAGCTGCGTGTGTGTTATCTGGGGCTGCAGGCTGTTTATTTTGTGCTCCCTTTGAGTGCGCTCTCGGTGCGGTTGCATGACTAACCGGCTGCAGTGATTCACTGGCTGCTTTCTGGGTGATTGCTCCAAACAAGTTGTGAATCAAAGGAGAGCTCCCTGGCTGTGGTTTCTAACCTCCCAAGTCAAAACCCGGAGTGGGTTTAAGGGGAGCTGATGAGCAGTCTTCAGTCCTTCAGATCTTGAAGATTTATCCCCCTTCCAAGCCCTGCGTTCAGAATCGTGATGAGTTTCCCTTGTAAGAGAGAGGTGGTGTCTGGGAGGCTCGCAGCCAAGCTCTGCACTGGAGGACATCTCCAGCTACAGCCCCAGCCCTTCAGCCCAGCTGAATCTGTTCAGAGCCTTTCAACAGCTGTATAATTCTCAGGTAAGAAGCGTGGTGCGCTTTGGGCAATAAGTGCTTCTCATCCCATTTTTCAGCCGGAAGAACTGAGGTTCAGGATGCACGAGCAGCTCGTGCAAGGCCAGGCTGCCACCACGCAGCGGCATCAGTGATATCTTCTCCAGGCCCAGCTCGAGCAGCAGGACGCTCCCACAGCTGGGGAGGAATTTGTGGAGTTACTGGAAAAACTCAGCAGGCAGAGGTCCCTCAGTTTGATTTTGGAGGGGGTGAACTTGGCTTTCCTGAGCCAGGCCTTTATTTGGTGCAAGTAGTTGTGGCAATCGGTGTGTTCTCATGAGTCCGGGTGCCTCAGCACAGAGCGGACTCTCAGCCTGCCAACCCACATGAATGGGCTCAGCTTGGGCAGCCCAACAAGCAATGGGTTGGTCACTGCTTTTCAGAAAATGCTGAGAAATCCCTGCCCCAAGAGCAGTGTGTTTCTAAGGCATTTCTCCTATGTCCCTGGAGGAAAAATAAAAATAAAATCCTGATGTAACTATTAATCAGTTTGGAAACTAAAGGTCTTACATATGCACGGAGATATGCTTCTAAAAGGAAAAGAGACAGCTCTGGATGAGAAGCCTGAGCTGTGACACAGCTGATAGAGGATGCCGTGATTTGAGAATCATTTCCAGAGGGGTGGATGGGAAGAGTTCATATGAATAAAACGTAATTTACAGTTTATTTACAGCTTACAAATTTACAGCTGTTCTATGTCTGTCTGCTGCCCCAGCTTCTTCAGTAAAAGTTCTTAAGTAAAAGAGGAAAGATACACATATATGAAATGAACAACCTCCTCTTTATTTTCTGCATGAGTTCAGGCAGATCAGCATTATTACACACTGACTGCTGGGCTGTGATTTTATTTGTGCTCACACAAAACCTTTGCATTTTGACTGTAACTGCTAAAGGCACAGTGTGAAAGAGGACTTCCTGGTCAGTGTAGTGTTTTACGGGC